ACAAGTAGTTTGTTATTTGATTATTTTCAGACGATAGCGACAGTAGACCGAGTACATCTGCTGCTTTTACTAGCAGTATTAGCTCTCCGGCTAGTGTTGCTAGCCCCACCATTGACCTGCAGCAAAGCCCATTCAAACTTGTTGCAAAGGGTAAAATAACACAAGAGAAGGAGGATGAATGTCATCATGCAGTGACAAAATTTGTAGTGAAAGTGTGGTATACATCTTTTTCTGTTATTGGAGACTCAATAAAATGTTGTGTTAACAGTGAAAACCTATAGTTTCCTTTTTTTTAAATCAAAGAAAGGCATCGATAAGGGAATTGTTAAAGAACTGAATCGATAAATTGAATTGATAATGGCATCAATATCAATAAAATCTGATCAATTCCCATCCCTATTCCCCCATGTTGCACTGATAAAACGCAGCCAGTGGGAAATGATGGACAAGGGACGCACACAAGAAGATAAAGTTCCTGGTGATGCTACCCCCTCTTTGACTTTCCCTGTCATTTCAGGTTACTCCTCTGGGGGCAGAAGAGTTAATGCTATGTTGGATGACTTCAAAACAATCAAGGCAGATTTGAGTTTTACTTGGAAATCACTCCTAATCTGAAAGAGGTATTTTGTTTCAGTTGGTGCAGCTTTTCTTCAAGAAGCTTTTGGTCCTGGATAAACTCAAACTACATTGGTCTTGGCATGTGTGCTGTGTCCCAACTGTACAGCGCTTTTGTTCTTCCCCGGAGCACAGATTTTTTTAACATGGGATTTGTTACTGTCAATAAGAAGCTTACAGTCCAGTCTTATCTATTCCATTGTCTCCACAAACAGATCTCTCCACATTGATCAGATTTCCTCTTTGCTTCTGACTTTATCTGCCTTCTTCCCTCTTCATCTGTGACTCAAAGTACTGTTGATTGAAGAGGAGGATTGAACCATTGATCACCAAGGCCAGATGAAAAGGACAAAACACTAGATGCTCATGGGGAATTCAGATGAGCGAAGGGGATTTGCTGCTTTATAAAAATTCAGATATTTTTTCTTCAACTAAAATGACAAAGTACACTGACACAGATGGATGGGGCTCTGTAAACACACATTTAATCTGGGTAAGACACACACCCACACACATGCACACAGGCTTATTTTGGATAGTCCAAAAGCTCTTTGCATTGTTGTTTTGATGCCAACATGAGAGGCGGCTATCTATGAAGGCTTCCAGCTTGCCTTGTAGAGCTGGGGAGGAGGTTTAATGGTGTAAAGAGGGGGAGTGCTGAAATTGCAAGGGCACAGACAGACTACAGAGAAGACCTTGTTTGATCAACAGCAACTTCGGTCAGAGGTAGAAACATTGTGGACTTGTGCTCATCTCCGTCTTCTTCTGGTCTTTTTGTTTAATGGTGAAAACTAGAGAAGATGGTGCATATATGAAAAACTCAGACTGATTTTTGCTCAAGAGAATTTTTGAAGACCAGCAAGGTACAGAGTGCAAACTTTGAATTAAATGTCTGTCTGAATAAACTTAAGGAAACAACAAAACAGGGATTAAAATGAAATAAGGGCTGAAATAAATTTCATCTCTTGAAGCCTAGTGTTGGCGTAGATATTATAAAGACCAAATACAAAAAGGGAAGGTTTAATAATATGTTTCAAGATAGGACATCACAAACCAAAAGCAATTCTGAATGTAAGAAAAAAAAAGGCATTCAGTTTATAATAAGGACTTCAGACAGATAAGGTCTCTGGTTGGTAGCTTGCCATCTGTGTTCAGTTTTGTGCAGAAGTTGATTGCAGTATCCTCAAAAACTTGACCAATAAAAAGTTCATAGAAAAAAATCAATTTCTCTATCAAACACAATACTTTTATCATCGACTGTTATCCCTCTGCAATCAAAAACAATATATTATCACTCTTTTTTCCTCTTATAACCAAACCTTATAGGGAAAAAAGTATTTTAGTTATGAATCACTCAAATTTATTATGGGTTCAGGTTAGCTATCTGGTTTAGGTTAGTTATCTGTAAAAATCAAACTGACTCATTACTCCTCTAATGAGAACATCCTTCCATCAGTCCATCTTTCACTGCTTATCTGAAGTCAGGTCACAGGTGGGGGGAGGGTTTAAGCAAGGAAGCCCCGACTACCCTCTCCCCGGCCACTTCGTCCAGCTCTCCCCACAAGAGACCTGAGGTGTTCCCAGGCCAGCTGAGAGACACAGTCTCTCCAGGATGTCCTGGGTCTTCCCTGCGGTCTTCAACGGACGTGCCCAGAGCACCTCACCAGTGAGGTGTCTAGGAGGCATCCTGATTAGATGCCCAAGCCACCTCGTCTGACTCTTCTCAACATGGAGGAGCAGCGGCTCTACTCCCGAATATATCATATCTGGTATATCATATTTGGACTCAATGTGTGCAATATAAGACCATTCAGTAATGAGACTGACAATACTAGCCTGAAGACAATGACTTAGCTGTGAATTTGAACCACTGGTTTTTAAAATAACTTTCATTGCATGTATTTATTGCTCTGAATGTGTGCAAAAAGAGTTTAAAAAAATCGTTGCTCAGGACTTTTTCACAGTGTTGCTTTGGTATGCGCCCTTACATAGAGTTTTGAACATAAAACACTTATTTCTAGTTAAGCATTTTCACCGAGAGTTAAAACTTTTTGTAAATACTCTTGACAATTCTAACTCATCTACATACCTAAAGGACAGTGCTGGTAAATAAGCAGCTCAAATGAGCTCATGAAGACTTTGTACTATCTGCAGTTGCATTGGTAATGTCAACTATCTGTCTCTGAAGCAGAGTTTTGAAGCCAATCAGTGGCAGTCACCATATTCATACTGCTGTCTCAACTCAAGATTTTGTCACCCTACTAAAGGCGTGTCTTTAGCCTCCAAACCCTTAAGAGTGCCTGACTGTCAGCTGTGCCTCTGATTTGCTGATCTTGAACCCCGAATAACTTGAAACAAATATGTAGTTATAAATAAATAAAAAGCCCCAAAGAGCACAGAGCTAATCAAACATAAGTAAATACTTTTGTAAAAAAGTAAATACTTATGATTTAGGCAGTAAACATGTAGATTTTTTGCCCCCAAAACGCCCTTTTTTTGGTCTCAGTGTGTAAAGGGTTCCTCGTGCTCTCTCAAGTGAACAGTCAAAGAACTGCAGTTTAAGCAGTTGAAAATAGTCATGAAAATATTATCAATTCATTTTATTGGTTTATGAATTTACTATGTGTGTTTTATCCCCATGATGAAGTTTCATCCCAAAGATGCACTTAACTTTCCTTCTGTGTTAGCTTTTACTATGCACCAACCATGTTAAAGGTGGGGTGGGCAGGAATCCGTTAAAGAAGCATCTTTTTTTTGCAGTGTATATACAAAAAAACTTTTAATATCAGTCAATAGCTATTAGTCATTGATGACATTCAGTAATATAACGATATCACTGTGTTTTTTTACGTCTGTGTAGTCAACATTTTAAGTTTTCAGAGCGTTCCGCTCTTTCTGACTGTGAACAAAGCCATTCCCTCCCTCCCCCATCCTGATTGGTTGTGAAGTGGATGCTGCTCCTTAGTGCTGATTGGTTGGGAGGCAGATGCTGCTCCCCCTGTGTCATTCAGGTGCACGAACAAAGTTAGCGGGCTACAATATCAGACAGTAGAAACCAACCAGAAAGTACAGAAAATTGTCTGAAACCTCCTTTAGCCACGACTGCCAACACAAGCAAGAAACAAACTAAATACCAAAGACTCTGGCGGAATAATGGGCGCTTAAAAAGGAAGTAGACTGGACAAGAGCTAAGAAGCCAGGTCAACAATGATGGGGGATGCTTGGGGATCTTACAGACCCTGTAACCTTTCTGCTGGACAGGTAAACCGTTTTAACATAGTAAGCCGAGTGTAACAGAAGTGTTTCTTGTCAAACGGGATCTGCTGCATGTTGAAGCGCCGCTAAACTGTTTAACTCGGGTCCTGGACTATGTCACTTTATCCTTGTTGTAGAAGTCCTGCAAACATTGTGTTTGCTGGTAGCCTGTTGGCATCTACAGTAGCACCAATGCTTTTTACTTTCAAGATGACTGGGCCCCATTTTGATTATCTTAAGTATTTATCTGCATTTTATCTGAATTTAATTAAAATGATACGAGTGAGCAGGAGTGTCTGGTTGTGGGCGGGGCTTGCTGAAGCAGAGACTGAGGGGAGAGGAGGAGCCGAGGGGAAAACTGGTTGGGAGAGGTAGTGTTTACATTCAAGATTCTCCCAAAAACTGGCACTTTCTCAGATTCTGCCAACCTTAAGGGTCGGTTTTGACCCGTGTCTTAAATCAGCTGTAAATTACACTAAGAATAATTCTCTATCATCCAATTTGGTTCTCATCTCTAGGTTACCTTGTTAGCCTTCATTATCCATGAAAATATTGCTTTTAATAATTTTTGTAGTGGTCCTCTGGGCCTTTCTTTATCAGGATACCCCTCACACAGACGTACACTGAATTGATCTCAAATATCTGGACATGTCTGACATTGTTTTTTATGCAGGGAAAAACATGGCAAAATGAGAATTTCCTAAATCTCACATGATTGGAAGAGGATCTGACTGTTAGTGTGGTGCCTGACAATGCACATGTGATTTCAGTTTTTGCTCTAATTATTAGATATTTATCTAACTTAGTCAATAGCAACCCTAACATGACAAGTGCCATCATTTTAATAAGAGCATTTTATAATTTAGTCAATTATTTTTGTTTTTTATTTTGTTGAAATAGAGGTTCCTGACAAAGTCAAAAAGTCTTGATGCAAAAAAGCTAATTTAAGTGGTTCTTTTAAGCATTTAAAACCAAAAATGGGTCGTTGCAGACCCTAACACAGGAGGAAGGTTAAACCGAGAGGTTGCTGCAAGTCTGGACTCTCTGTATTGTATGTAATTTTTGCAATATTTTTTTTCTATTTTTGCTGTTTTCTTGTTGGCTGCTGACGTATACTTAAGCTGGGCGAAGAGTTTACTCAAGAGAAGAGCTCCTTTCATTCAGGAAAAGCAAATCTGGACAACAACATACAATTCCAGAGGACATCAGGAGGTGCTATTGTGGTTACTGTGCTGGTGCAAAGGTGAAGGTAAAGTTGAATGCTAGAAATTGGAGATATATACCCTTTCTTCCATCAATCATCAGGGGAAATGTCAACTCTCTGCCCAACAAAAGCGATGAGCTGGAGATATTGGTGAAGACTGAGAAAGCATACCATGAGTGCAGTTTCCTGTGTTTTACTGAAACCTGGTTGAATCAAAACAACTCGGAATCCAGTGTGGATCTACCTGGCTTCACTATCATAAGGTCAGACAGAGATGCTCAAGCTAGTGGCAAGAAGAAAGGAGGAGGTATAGCTTTATTTGTCAACCAGAGATGGTGTAACCCTTCACACATAACTGTCAAGGAGAAGTTGTGTTGTCCAGATATTGAACTGTTGGCAGTTGCTCTTCGGCCATATTATGTTCCAAGAGAATGCAGTCATATAACGTAGTTGTTTACATCCCACCCAATTCAACTGCTGAAATTCTATTCGATCTTTTGCATAATAGTGTTGCCAGGTTACAGACTCTAAACCCTTAGGCACAAAAAACAATATCAGGAGACTTCAACCATCGATCATGTTCGAATTTTCAAGTGCAGTCAACACCATCCAACCTACCATACTCAAAAATAATTTCACAGAGATGACAGCGGATCCTGCCTGTGTTTTCTGGATCACAAATTACCTGGCAGGAAGGCCACAGTTTGTCAGGCTGGGGAACTGTGCAGTAAAGGGGCTCCACAAGGGAGTGCTGGCACCATTCCTGTTCACACTGTATATGTCAGACTTCAAAAACAGCACTGAGTCCTGCCATATCCAGAAATATTTTGATGACACTGCTATTGTGGCATGTATCAGAAATGGACAAGAAGCTGAATACAGAGATCTAATAAGAGCCTTCAGTGACTGGAGTCACAAAAAATGCCTCCTCCTCAACACCTCAAAGACAAAAGAAATGATCATAGACTTCCACAGATCCAAACCCCCTATTCAGCCAGTAAAAACATGTGGAGTGGACAGGGAAGTGGTGACATCATAAAAATATCTAGGTGTACATCTGGATAATAAGTTGGACTGGTTTAAGAATATAGACCTCATCTACAAAAAGGAGGAGAGCTGCCTCTTTTGCCTGAGAAAACTCCGATCAATAGACATCTGTAGTAAGATGCTGCAGATGTTTTATCAGTCTGTGGTGGCAAGTGTTCTGTTCTACGCTGCAGTCTGCTGGGGAGGAAGCATCAAACACAGATACAAGACGTCTGAACAAACTGGTGAAAAAGGCTGGCTTTGTGGTTGGATTCAAGTTGGACTCAGTGGAGGATGTGGTGGAGAGATCTACACTGAGGAAGGTGGAGACTATTCTAAAGAGCATGGATCACCCACTTCACAACACCTTGATGGACCATAGGGCCAATGGTGGTGGACGGCTCCTCTCTTTACGTTGGACAGAAAGATTCAGAAGATCTTTTTGTACCCACAGCCATCTGTATCTTGTATAAATAGTAGATAACTTGAGACACCAGACTACAGACAATAGAATTTCCCTTCAAGGATCAATAAAGTTCTTCAATTTTTCCACCTGGATGAAGGATGCATGAAATGATGGAAGAGGCAAACTAACTGAGTGCAGAGGAGCAGAAGTCGATTTGGTGCCTCTGCAGAAGCTCCTTGATGGTATACTGCTGTGATAGGTTTCTGGCATTTTGTTGAGCAAAGAGAGGCCAGCAATCCATCCCCCTATGTATCCGGCCTCCTCCCCAGACAGTCATTGAGTCTCCAAACCAGAGAGTCATAGAGCCTCTTAACCAGACATCTAGGTGACCACTTCGCTTGAGAACACAGCATTTTGTACAACCTCAAACCAGCCACCCTGCTGGTCAGCAACCCACGCTGGTACTCAGCCAGCCAGTTGCACTGCCAGTCAGCTGGCCGGCCCACCAGCCTGCAATGATGCTCCTTCACCTAAAGGGTGGTCGATGAGGTTGATGTTTGTTGCTTTTTAGTCATCATTTTGTACCCGTCTTGCTCCTGTTTTGCAGAGTCTTTAACTGGTATTAAGAGGTTTTGATCAATCAGAATTAAGTATTTAATGTAGACATGCAATTCATAAGAAAGCTGCGTAATAAGGTAACATAATTTATGCTTTGTGACAAGTATTTGTTTTGAGCAGTTTTCACACATTTCTCCTGTTACAGTAATGTTTCTATTTTGGGAGTCCAGACTTCTGCACTGCCACATGTTCACCCTTTGACCAAATTTACATATGAACACAGCAGTGTTATTGCAGAGAAATGACCCACTGGATAAAGTCACTTCAGCAGTTTCGTCCAGAGAAAGGTTGGGGACATGAACATAGCACCAAACATGTACCACGTTTATGGTTTTGGATGACAAAGAGTGTGATGAAGATTGTACTGGCTCACCTTGGTGCGAAAGTCCTTTGATCTGATCCGTTCTGTTGAGTCAAAAGGTTGGAAGTAGTCTTTTATTGTGTCAAACACAAAAAGAACAATGCCTTTCCTCCAGTGTGTGTGAGTTCAAACACTGGCTACAGGCAATTACCCCTTTAAGTTCAGCAGCAGCAGACAGTGTTTCAGATACACGCTCTCTGAAGGTTTAGCAGATTGAATTATAGCGGCCTCTCAGGGACAGCTACATGCCACCACTTATCTTTTACCCACACACACACACAAACACCCCGAGCACTGAGGAGTCCTTAATCACCAAAATAACTCTGAGCCTTAAAACAGTGTCTGTCTTTTGGAGGCCTGTTTTTGATGTTGGTGTGACTGGGACCACATAAATGGGATGTTCCATATTGATGAAGGCAGAAATGAAACTAAAGAACCAAACAAAACACAAGGACATTAACGGGAACACAGAGGAGAAATAATAATAATAATAATGCTTCAGATTTCATATAGCGCTTTATCAGAGACCCTCAAAGTGCTTTACATTGTATACATCATTTATCGAAATATGTAGTAAACTGGGGAAAAAATTATGATACACACTAGAGCCCTGCACGGGAATGTTTTCTTCATCCCACTCCTGCCCGCTCTCACTGAATTTCTGATCATTACCTTCTGCAATCACAATGTGTCTGTTACACTCCCACAATGTGTTTGTTCACTGCTGCCCCCACTGTGAATTTATGCCTGCATGATAACAGAAATGCATTGATTTTGTGTCTCCTCATGTCCCGCAGGAGGAGCACATAATTTTTGGCTACTAATAAAGATATTTAGGGGGTTGTTTGTTTTGTTTCCCTGGCCTGCATGTCTTTGATGCACTGGTCAGAAATATTGCTCTTATGTCATTTTTTTTCACTTAGTTTAAAATGAAATTAAGGCAGTTTCATATTCTTTTCTCCTCCTGTGTGTTTTAGTTATTTTTCTACCTAAAATCATTTTAATACATTGAGGTTAAAGTCTCTTTTTTAAGAGTGACCTGAATGAGAAACATTATCAGGAATACAATCAGCTGATAGACAGCATTACACAATAAATTTAAATATCCCTTTGTTTTATCAAACCTTGTGTGCCATCACACAGCACATAAAAATAGACTGCTTTGCAAAAAAATACAATATGATAAAGAACATGAAAAACAGCTGTTTCAAAACTGTTAGCCAGACGTTGCAGCTATACTGTTTGAAAAATATGAATAAAAACATTCAAACTTAATAACACATCATTACACCTCATTTACCCTAATCAACAAATAGCAACAAGTGTAGGCTGCGAGTGGCTTAAATAACACTAATAAACAACATAAAATGAACAAAGTTGACAAATAAATTTAACAAATAAATTCACTCTGCTATAATATTGCTGAAAGAGAATGTTTCCCATCCTGTGCAACTCTCTCAGAGATGTGCCAACAGACACTAAAGGTCCACTCTGTAGGCACACTGGATACGGATATAGGGATATATCCAGCTCACCAAACTCCACCCTCCCACCCACCTCCCTAATCACCTGCCTATCCGAAATTAAAGCCTGGTTCACCGCCAATTTTCTCCAACTTAACAGTCAGAAAACAGAAATTCTTCTCGTAGGTTCAAAATTCACCCTATCCAAAGTTGACAGTCTCTCCCTTCCCATCGACAGTTCCTCAGTTTCCCCCTCACCTCAGGTCAAGAGTCTGGGTGTCGTTCTTGACAGTACTCTTTCTTTCAAATCACACATCAGCCATACCACTCGGACTGCCTACTTCCACCTCCGCCACATCAATCGGCTCCGTCCCTCCCTCTCCCCCAACTCCACCTCCATCCTCGTCCACAATCTCATCACCTCCCGTCTGGACTACTGTATCTCCCTCCTCTTCGGTCTCCCTCACACGTCTCTCCATAAACTTCAACTAGTCCACAACTCCGCTGCCCGGATCATCACCAAAACCCCTTCGTCCCACCACATCACCCCCATCCTACAGCAGCTTCACTGGCTCCCGGTCCCACTTAGAATCCAGTTCAAAATCCTCCTGTATACCTTTAAAGCCATCCACAACCTCGCCCCTCGTTACCTGTCTGACCTCCTCCACATCGCCACTCCATCACGCCGCCTCTGATCCTCTTCCTCTCTCCACCTCACTGTGCCCCCTGTTCACCTCAGCACCATGGGGGGCAGAGCTTTCAGTCGCTCTGCCCCCCGACTCTGGAACTCTTTACCATCACACATCCGCAACATAGACTCCCTCCCCCTCTTCAAGTCCAAACTCAAGACACACCTGTTTAAACTGGCCTATCCCTCCCACCACCCCAACTCACTTTTTTAAATTAAATTTCAATTGCTATTATTCATTTCTTTATTTATTCCTTTGCTGTTGTTCATGTTTTAATGTTGCTTTGTTGATTTTAACTGTTTTGATGATTGATGATTTTAATTGTTAATAGTGTTTTATTATTGTTTTATATGTTCTGTAAAGTGTCCTTGAGTGACGTGAAAGGCGCTTCAAATAAAATGTATTATTATTATTATTATTATTATTATTATTAAGATGAAACACACAGGCTTTGAGGTCACTAGGAAGTGCTCTTCACTGAACTTCCACCGTTTTTTTCTACATCATTTGTTGACTCCATCATCCTGTTGCTAGGTTACATCCCATCCCTCAGTGTTTATTTTTTTATTTTTTATTTTATTTTATTTTAAAGTTTAAACCACCCACTCCAGATGCAGCCCTCTAATGTGGCGTTCACACTTAGTGCAAGTAAAATCATCTACTAGCTTAATTCGCGCAAATCTAGACGTGTGAATGAAAAGTATTTACCCGCTTCATTCACACAAATAATTTGCTGTATTCACAAAAATTAGTCCATCCACGCAGTTTGTGTGTCAACAGTCTAAAAGCTGTGGATAGCTGCTTATGTTAATTTCAACAGCGCTCCTTGCAAAGTAAACCGGAGGGATCAAGTGATAGACAACAGTTTTTCACAATTTACCAGATATTCCAACCTCTTCACTCACTTTCCTCCTTTTCCTCACTTTTTATTCCTGTTTTTATTAAAAAAGCCATGGATTCAAGAGAAGGGGAGAGTGTCCATCAAGCATGGTAGGAGTGAACCACATTCAGTAGATTGCTGCTTTGTTTTTGTTGTTGAAGGCCCACAACCATCGGAAATGTAGGGGCCACCATGTCTGGGTCTCCTACAATAGCTGTGCCTGGACGGCAGGCATTTCCAGCAGTATTTTCTGGTAACCCAAACCCAATTTGACGACCTGTCGGTGAGGGTCAGTGCCAGGATATCCCTCCAGGATACCAATTACAGGCGCTCTATCCCAGCTGCAGAGCACCTGTCCATCTGTCTACTGTGAATACAGGGTAAATTTGTGGAAATATTTTCACACCAGTGAACATCTTCCGGTCCGTTCATGCATTGGTTATCGCGACGCAAATCTCTGCTCAAGTTGTGATATTTTCAACTCTCGCAAATTCACACTATTCAATGACTTGTTCTATTCACGCAAATAACTGCTCAACCTATTAAAAGTTGCACTGAATCTTAAAGGACAATTTGTTTGCACAATTTGAAAATGCACACACACGCGAACCAGGTTTGTTTCTGAAAAACATTTAAACTTCATTGTTCTCGAACATGCCCTGCTCTGGTCCTAGTTCTCTGACTCTCCTGTGTCCTCTGTTTTTATCCTGCAACAAGTGAGATCTTAGCAGCTAAACTACTGTATGTTTATATTTTAGAGAGGTTCTTTTGATGGAAGGTCATCCACCAGTAACAGGAGTAATACATAGTGGTGATGGAGCTGGATCTGTGGCCAAGGCTAAAGCATTAGAGGGAGGTCTCGATCACCACAACTGTCTAACCTGTAACTATACACAAGGGAGACTGTCCTGCAGTGGCGGAAGACCAGTGATGGGCTTAGTCATAGGCAGTGGCGGCTGCTGGTCTTTCAAGGAGGGGAAGCTCATTTTTCTGGCCTACATCATTATTGTATTTGTTTATTAGTATGTAACAGAACAGAGTCGCCAAACACAACGGCAGTCGTTTTTGACAAAGACAAAAGTCGCTGAGGATCGGTAAAGTCTCTGGAGCAGTTAAGAACAACGGAATGAGTGACTTGGAAAATGCTCTGGTAGATGTTTTATTCTTCAAGATCGCTGATTCGCTTGTTTAGCTGTCAATCAAAAAAGGATTTCGCCTCAGACAGCTCATCCAATCATGAATGCAGAAGCTTGGAGTCCGGGAGAAAGTCGGGACCGCCCTCTCGCCATAGAACTCCAGTGAAGCTGGGCTTCCATTGGGCGGGACAAAGCCCAGCATTTATCCAATGAGCGTCTAGTTTCGCTGCTGGAACAACCCACTTTAAGCTTCCACACTGAAGTCAGCAGAAGCCCAGCGTCCGACTGTTTGAAGCGCTGAGGCGCTGCGAGGATGAATGAGAACGAAGTTATGCCGGTTACCTGTGATTATCAGCTTCTTATCACAGTGTCTGAACAAAAGTTGAAGGCTTTCTAGTGCGTATTTAGTTAATGAAATGTACACACAGCCGTACGTATTTCACCACTTTTTCTTTTTTTGGGGGGTGACATTTTAAGGGAAGCCGAGCTTCCCTTGCAGTCTTAGAGCAATCGCCACTGGTCATAGGGTACCTGTCCCATACCCACAGCTGTGAGTTAGCATCACAGACATATGGGGGGAATGCACACCTGTGACCAGATGCTGTGAACAAACCCAGCCCATAATAGTTTTTCAGTACCTTTTGGGCATTGCTGTCACTAACAGCCTCATTGTGTGCAAGGAGCTCAACAATAGACAGCAGCAGAAGCTAGTGACACACCAGGCTTTCCAAGAGGAGATGTGTGCAAAGCTGCTTGATGTAGCTGGCCCACCCAAGCCCGCTGCTCAACACCACTTTCCTGTCCCCACCAACAAAAGACAGGAGGATAAAAGATAAAGGATGAGCCTTGGGAGGAAACAGTGCACTCTCTGCAAAACAACAAAAAAAGATTGGGCTCTGTCTTCAGCTGGACAGGAAATGCTTTATTGACCACCACTGCAGCTAAAAGCACCTGGACATGGACAAATATAACAATCTGTAACATGGACCCTGAGAGCTTTAGGCAAGCACAACAGTTTGAGAAGATGTAAGACAGGTTGAGTTTTATTTTTGTGATCTCAAAAGTGTTTTTTGTGTACATTTGAAATTGTTTATAACGTACAATGCAGATCGATGTAATGAACAAGTTAAATTGTTTCATTACACTCTGTTTAAGCATGTATAAAATAATGCCAGGAACTTCCACTGTGAAGAGAAACACACACTCAATAAAAATTTTCTGCAACACCCAAAAATGAGGAAATAAAGTCAATTTAGAAGGGCAGTTCCTGTGCATGAAATGCACACACTAGGTCAGAGTTTTTATAGGGGGGCAGCAGATCACTTGTCCTAAAAAGCGCTGCAAACTAACACATACTGGAAGTGTATTTTGTCAGCCAACATAAAAGCTGTACAAATTTAAGAATCGGGTCTATGTTTTATAACATTTTGTTAGAAATATATTACAATGACTACAATGCAGCATAAGCAATCATTGTTATGTTGTTGATTTTTTATTTTTATTTTTTATTTTTTTGCAAAGCCACATTAATAGTCTATTAGCACTTAATTAGCAGGTAAGCTACCAATGTTGGGAAATACTGACTCTAAAACTAGCTCTTTGACAAGCTCAAAAATAAGCCATGTCAAAACATATTGGCCCTCATTTATCAAGCTTGCGTACGGCAGAAAACTTGCGTACACCTTGTGTATGACAATTTTGATGTGAGGATCAGGATTTATCAATCTGCACATGAGCGTAGGCTACGACCAAATCTCACGACAGGTCTGAAATTGTATACACAAGATTGAGTCAGTGGATCTGTGGTGCAGCAAATGTCTGTCTCAAAATAATTGATATACAAACCTCAAACCTGTCACTCAGCACAATCAGCCAGATGTCATTAAAGATCAAGACGTAAATAAAATAAAATAAAATAAAATACATTTGTTATGTCCTTAGTGAATAGGCCTATTTGATAACTCTGCCCAGAAACACTGCCACAGAGCAGAAGTGCCGTTTCAACATTACACACACATGCACATGCGCCACTGTGGAGCGCTGCGTTTGACTCCTAAAGGGCAGGTGTCTCTGTCTTGGTCCAGCAGCGGGGACATTGTGGTACACTCCTGAAAGGGTGTGGGACATCATTTGGGCCAGTGCAGTTTTGCACAATGTTGCACTGGTGAATGGAGTGCCGTTGGTTGTGCCGGTGCAACGTGAGGACCCGATGCCCAGAGAACAATAACGAGAAGAGACTCCACAAAGGTGCTGTACAGAGGAGACAGGACCTTATCGAGGGATTCTGATGTAAAGTATAAGTTTAGAGAGTGCTCTTGCTATTTAATCAGTGATAAAAATCCTGTAGAAATCCATAAAAATGTGCCTCAGGGGCAGCAACACACCGTTTGGTGAGGTTAATAATTATTTTTGTTCAGCCTCTGTCAAACTTTTCAGTCTGCACTACATTATAAAGACAGAAACAAATTAAAACTAAATACTTTAAATAATAGGAGCAACGTACCCTATGTCATGGCGATAAAAAAATATGAGGCATGTATGAGATATTAATTTATCATAAGCAACTTATTGACTAATGATTTATTCAAACTTCAGTCACTGTCCGCTATTTCGCGGCAGCGCTGTTCACCACCTCCATAATCCTGCTCCAGACAGGAGTTTTCTGGACTGCTTTTATACCAGTTTTGATGCTTCCAAAGAGCAAATCCTTGTTAGTTTCCACCACAGATGTGAGGATATCCACTTTCAGCTTGAAAAAGTTTCACATCTTTCTAATATTTCTACTCTTCCATGTTTGACCTCAGTGGGTGAGGCTTCTGAACCACCACAAATATTTAAGGGCCCAGGTACTCAGTCACATCTGCACCTCCTTTTTTGGCTATACCTGCTGGAACTTGTGATCTTCGCTCCTTCATGAATAGCATTAAGGCATTGGAGGGCTTCTTTGTGTATGGCTCATCTTCAGTTTATGATACCATGGTGTAAAACTGTAAGGGTAAAAGTGTTTTTGAAAAGAATTAACAACGTATTGGAGCATCAGTCATGTTCTGTTGGACAATTGAAACTTACACTAAAATATGACCTACTTGTAACATAATTGTAACATAATTAAAAAATAAAATAAAATAAAACTCATCTGCTAGACAAAAGTGAAGTAAAACTTACCTGAAGCTAAAGGTGTAGAGAGAAGCAGCAGCAGAAACAGATGTAGAAGAGGTTTCAGGTGTTACTTCTGCATTACTGCACACACACACACACACACACACACACACACACACACACACACACACACACACACACACACACACAGAAAGACAAAAAAAAAGTTGGATGACAAATCAAAGAAAATGTCTTTGTAGTTTTGAGGTAGAGAGGAATTGAGTACTAGGAACCCATTGTGAGCTGACGTGTGTCTGTGTAAATCGATGCTTGCATTACTTACAGCACTCTGATAGGCTAAAATTAGTGCCACAGTTAGGCTAAAATTGGTGCCGCGGTTGGCCCCCCTGACTCAAAACTGCGGATGCGCCCCTGCAGTGTGTTACAACCAGTGAGTGAGGTAAAAGAGGGAGAGGGTCTCTGGTATCTAACTTAGGCTTAATGGCAGCAGATGATGCTAGTGCAACATCATTTACAGTCCACTGAAAGGGTGGGTACTGCACAGAGGAGAGGAAGTTTAACCCACACACTCAACTCTTAAAGTTGCATTGTGTAGAACTCAAAGAATAGAAATGATGGGTATAATGCATAAGTATGTTTAAAGAGGACATGAAACATACCACATTGGCATCCTCAGGTGGTAAAAAAATCAATTAGGAGAGAGTGGAATATTTTTTGTGTAAAAATGAGCTGTTTAATAAGAAAACCACTTTCAAGATTGTATTTACGACATGCGTAAAGCGCCATCTTGAGTTTAAGACAGTTGTGACGTCACGGGTGGTGCAGGAACAGAGTGGTGAAATAGTAATTAATGTACATGAAAATATAAAACGTCCTAAACTCTGTCCACCACACATCCGAACAGAGACATAACTGTTTAAACCTTCATTTCTGACATTAAATAACGGAGGGAAAAATGTCTTACCTTCACTCTGGAGTCTAAAACAGTCAGCATTATCACTCATCCAGCTCCAGCAGTTTAATAATCCACCGATATTATTCACGTCCCGTTTCTCGCTATCATCGCATTTCATCCATTCACATTGTGTGAAAGCTCACTTTACCTTCAGGTATCCTGATAAGAGACCGACAGCAGGAGCACCTCTGGACCTGGTACCGAGTCCAGACCACAGGTCCAGACAGGCCGTGACTGACTCACCACGTCGGAACCGAGACGCGGTCCGTGTCCCGGTGGAAGAGGACCAGGATACGACCAGATACAGCGCTAAAAACTTTAATTTTTCATGTGAATGGATGAGACGCTGACCTTGAGGTTGTAAACGGGATTCAAATAGGATGTAAATGGGAATAATATCGGTGGATCATTAACCTGTTGGAGCTGGATGACTGATAATGTTGACTGTTTTAGACACCAGAGTGAAGGTAAGACACTTTTCCCTCCATTATTTAATGTCAGATCATTGTTAAACAGTGGAAACTCTGGTGATGAAGTTTATTACACTGAATACCGATGTTAACACCTGATCGCTGCTGCTGCTGCTGCATGCATGTGTGAGCTGCGGAAAGCTGGAAAAAATCACGGGCCGTTTCAGCGGCGAATGATGAAAATGCCACGTTTTTTTATTTCTTATGTTGTAAAATTGGTTGGAGCAGCCTGGCACAAAACAAAATACCCCTCCTCTAGTGAGTTTACTCGTCTGTGGCTCTCGATTCGCCATTTCAGCCATTCTTATCTACTCTCATTCAATCAATCTCAATTCAGTCAATACGCGGGCTACACAACCCATTATGTCACGCGAAGTGGCACTGCTTTACGGTTCCCCGCAGTGTCGCTTAAGTGGAACTTCTGTCACAGTTTTCTAGAAATGTATTATATTTTGAGAGTCATGAATACGGTGATTTGTGAAGTCAAGAAGCATTCTTAAAAATAATGATAATTTGGGTCAGTGTTTCATGTCCTCTTTAAATTAGTTTATATTGACTGGAATATCATAATTGTTCCTTTCCTAAAAGTTTGTATTTATATATATTCTGTTGCATGTTTCACCATTGTGTTTTCTACAGTAGCACTGAGTGGACATGTTTAGTTAATTCCTAGGTCAGCTTTGGTGCAGTCTCATAACATTGTGGTACTGAGGTGCCAGAACATCAGACAACTGAACAAAATGCTCTGCTTTGTTTGATATAATGCTCGTTATCTTCAGTATTTAAAACTTTGATCATAAATCTCTAGCAATGACAACATTTATTGTATCTAGCTCTAGGTGTTTGTCCTTTTAAGAAGGTGGGCAAAAACTATCAGAGCTGACAAGAATACAAATCAGGAACTGATTAAAGTCAAAACCTATCTTTAGATCTTCTTGAATTCATACCTGCACCTGACTGGACTTATCTTTGTGGTTATCAAACACTAAGTACTGAATTTGGACAGTTTGTTCACCAGTGGGGATCAGGGAAGGTGAGGGTGGAGTAGGTATGGCATGTTGAAGGTCAGCTTTATCCATTATAAATCCACTGTCCCAATAAAGAGCTGAACCAAGCCCTCCCCACTCTGTATCTTGAATAAGTTCAAATAACTCTGTCTGACCTGAAGCGACATGTAGGTCAGCATCAGTCTTCATAACATTATTGATGGCTGGACCAAGAGCTGAACCAAGCTCTCCCCACTCTGTGTCTTGGATAATTCCAAATAACTCTATCTGACCTGAAGTGACCTGTAGGTCAGCGTTAGTCTTGTCATCATTGATGGACCAAGAGTTGACACAATCTCCTCCCACTTTAAGGTCTGGAGTTGATTCCAGGTGTGGTGTTTGCATTTGGAAGCTGTTGCTGTGAATACACAACATCTCTCAATGGAGGTGAAACAGACCATCCTGAGGCTGAAAAAAGAAGAAATCCATCAGAGATAGCAGAAATATTAGGAGTGGCCAAATCAACAGTTTTGTGCGTTCTGAGAAAAAAAAGAGTGCACTGGTGAGCTTGGACGTCCATAGAAGACAACAGTGGTGGATGATCGCAGAATCCTTTCCATGGTGAAGAAATACCCCTTCACAATATCCACTCAAGTGAAGAACACTCTCCAGGAAGTAGGTGTATCGGTATATAAGTCTACCATAAAGAGAAGATTTCATGAGAGTAAATATAAAGGATTCACCACAAGGTGCAAACCATTAATCAGCTTCAAAAATAGAAAGGCCAGAATTGACTTTGCCAAAAAAACACCTGAAGAAGCCAGCCCAGTTCTGGAACAGCATTCTTTGGACAGACGAGACTAAGATCAACCTGTACCAGAATGATGGGAAGAAGGAAGTTTGGAGAAGAATTGGAACACTTCATGATCCAAAGCACATCTCATTTTCTGTAAAACATGGTGCAGGCAGTGTGATGGCATGGGCATGCATGGCACATTGGAAAATGGCACAGGGTCACTTGTGTTTATTTATGATGGGCCAGAAGACGGAGGCAGCCGGATGAATTCTAAAGTGTATAGCGATAACCTTTCTGCTCAGATTAAACCAAATGCAGCAAAGTTGATTGGACAGCACTCCACAGTACAGATGGACAATGATCCAAAACATACTGCAAAAGCAATCCAGGAGTTTTTTTAAGGCAAAGAAGTGGAATATTCTGCAATAGCCGATTCAAACACCAGATCTCAACTCAATCCAGCATGCATTCCACTTGTTAAAAACAAAAATTAAGGCAGAAAGAAACCAAAACAAGCAGCAACTGAAGACAGCTGCAGTAGAGGCCTGGCAAAGCATCACAAAGGGGGGAAACCCAGCGTTTGGTGATGTCCATGGGTTCCAGACTTGAGGCAGTCATTGCCTGCAAAGGATTCTCAACAACATATTGAAAATTAACATTTTACTCAGGGTTTTGTTTATTTGTCCAATTACTTTTGAGCCCCTGAAATGAGGAGCATTTGTATAAAAATAGCTACAATTCCTACATGTTTAATCATATATTTTTGTTCAACCCCTTGAATTAAACCTTCAAGTCTGCACTTAAATTCTGTTGTACACTGTAAACCCGAATGCTCAAAATAATTAATTGGAATGAGTAGTGTAAACTCAAAATCTTCTTAAAAGTGGTTCTTACTTAAAAAAATTGAGTGTCAGGAGCAATTTGCTTATTTTTGAGTTTATCTAACTTGTAATTTTTGATTCATATGAACTTTTTGCATTTTTATGTAACTGCTACTTAAAATTATTAACTCAGCAATACTTAAAACTACATGGATTGAACATGAATTTATGTCTTATTTTGAAAGAACAAATAAATAAATAAAATCAAGAACAAATTAAGAAATAAATCAGTTGAATCAGATAGATTTGAATAAATTATCACACACGTTATTAAATACGTTTATAAATAATTAATTGCTAATAGTTTGCATGTTACAAGGTTCGCTAGTTAATAAATTACATTTTTTTTAACAAGGGGGAAAAAACAGGCTTCCACCGTAAGCGCTCACATATTTTATTTTGTAGTATTTGCGTGCACTTCCTCTTCAAGCACTCGCAGCAGATGACCGTCACCGGAGCCGAGGAGGAGAAGAGCGGGAGACTATCCGACCGGAGCATGGTAACACTGAGTTGTGAATGTAAGTAGTCAACATAAAACTTGCTTGAATGTTTGTTTCTGGAGGTTCAACGTGTTTTTAAAACAGACGAAGTGAGTCACGTGTGCAATGTAAAACGGTTAGGTTAGCAAGCTAGCATGCGAAGTCAACAGTTAGCTGCTAAGCTAATGCAGAGCGGTTGCTCTGCCGTGGTGTGTAGTTCAGGTGGAGACCAACATGCAGTGGTGGATAGTAAGTAGGGATGCATGATAGTTAATGGTCCGATAATTATCGGCCCAATATCAGGAAATTCTGACGTAATTTCGATAAATCCGATATCATAAGATTTAGTATATATTTTTTGTCAGCACTGCGGTATGGGTCGTTTTTTTTTTTTACCAAGCGCTCTCACTCAGAGCCTCTGCTCTCACTCCAACATGAGACCTGTGGCCTATGTGTGATTTTGTTGTTGTTGTTGTTATTGCTAGGATAAGAATGTATTAGTGCTACCAGCCCAACTTTATCTAACTTTTACTTATTTGTGTAATAAAATGTTTTGAATAGTCTATCAGGCATCTTAAACATCTGCTTTGTTTTATTCAGTGTTGGTGTATTGTTGTACTTTTATGAAGAATGTGACTGCAGTTTTTGATAGTTCTGATGGAGGTTTAAATTTCATGACAGGTGTCCTGTAAAATAATATTTTTTTTGTATGTATTTTCAGGTTGCTGTGACAAATATGACTTGGCACTGTAAGTTGTGTTCAGCTTCTTTTACAACTAGAACATATTTATTTAAACACTGTAGACTGCAGCACAGCCACTTTTCAAAAACTAGCCCACTCCCATGCCTCCATGACGATTGTATGTGCACGTTTCAGACACTTAGTGCACTGAGTACTCATCTGTCAAGATATCACACGCAAGAACATAACAGCAGTGCAAAGGAGATTCAGGAACTTGTGACTTTCAAGTGTCCTTTATGCACATTTCAGCAACCTTTTTCTGAGTCTGTACTCCTCAGTCACATAAGAACACACTTAAAAAAGCATGAGACAGTGGTATGCCCATACAAAGATTGCAACTATAGCACAAATGTATACTCTTCATTTAACACCCATAAAAGTAGAGTGCATCAAGCAAGTCTTGCGTCAGACTTTGGTAGTGACATTGTCTATGAGCATACTCAGAATCTCCAAGCCACCAGCTCTAACGTCACTATTGGTTTGGATGAAGAGTGTCCAGTTCAGAGCACAGAAATGCAGGATGATACTTCAAAACTAAAAGATCAGCTCAAACTTAATGCAGCATCTTTATTTCTAAAGATGCAAACTATCCTTCATGTGTCAAACACAGCTACGCAAGAAATAGTTGATCACTTGAATCAGATCTTCTCTTTATCTCAGCCACTGATCAAGGATGCAGTTAACGATATATTGCAGAGACATGGTCACAATACAACAGATTCCACACTCGATGAAGTTGTCAGTGCTGTCATGGACTCTAATGTTGTTTTTAGTGCTACCTCCAAAGATGCAGAGTTGTCCTCTTGTAAGCGAAGAAAGACATTTATAGAGCGCAACTATCCATTGGTAATGCCAGTAGAGTACCATTTAGAAGCACCTGGTCATACCATGATGTATGTTCCAATCCTTCAAATGATTCAGGAGCTGTTTAAAAACACAGATATCCTAAGCAAGATCAGAGAACCAAACACTGAGCCTGGTTATTATGTGTCATATCGTGATGGCTCTCATTTCCAGGAAAATGAATTGCTCTCAAAAGAAGATCTACACCTAGCAATACAGCTATACATTGACGATCTTGAAATCGCTAACCCTCTCGGCACATCACGTAAAGTTCACAAACTTTGTGCTGTATACTGGGTCCTAGCAAATGTGCCGCCCAAGTACAGATCAGCAATGCACACTATACAGTTGGCCATGCTAGCTAAAGTTACAGACCTCCAGAAATATGGATATGCAGCTGTACTTGCTCCACTGGTTCGTGATATTCACACACTTGAACAGGATGGTGTTTTCATTGAATCTGTTGGTCAGAATGTGAATGGCACCATCTTCTGTGTTTCTGCTGACAATCTGGCTGCACATGGGTTAGGTGGCTTTTTGGAGTCATTCAGAGCAGATTATGTTTGCAGATTCTGCATGGCCACAAGTAAACAGTTTCAAACAACTGAGGTAAAAAAGGAGGAATTTGTCCAGAGAACCAAAGCGAGTCATGACAATCATGTACAAAACGTCCTCCAAGATGAGAGTTCAAGCAGCCAATTTGGGGTTAAAGGTGATTGTGTCTTCCGTGAGTCACTTGAGCACTTCCACCCTATCACAGGTTTTCCTCCAGATCTGCTACACGATCTTTTGGAAGGAATCGTTCCAGTTGAACTGGCACTTTGCATCAAAGAAATGATTCGGCTTAAGTACTTCACTTTAGAGTATTTGAACCAAAGGATCACATCGTTCCCATATCAGCACACTGATAAAGTAAATAAACCTCATCCAGTTCCCAAAACATTCATGACCCGGGGAACAATAGGAGGCAATGGGCATGAAAATGCTACGCTGTTAAGACTACTTCCGTTACTTGTAGGCAGTAAAGTACCAGAGGGTAATGTTGCATGGGAGGTTTTGATGGACTTGAAAGAGTTGGTGGAATTAGCATTGTGCCCATCATTTTCTGATGAAACATTGGACTATTTTGTTTGCAAAATCAGTGACCACAGACAGATCCTACAAGAGGCTTTCCCTGAGTTTAGGCTTCGTCCTAAGCATCACTATTTGGAGCACTATCCGACCTTAGTTAAGTGCTTCGGGCCCCTGGTGCATGTTTGGACCATGCGATTTGAAGGTAAGCATCGTTTCTTTAAGAGAGTGGTGCATGATGCTCAAAACTTCAAAAATGTCTTGAAGACACTGGCAATCCGACACCAAAACATGATGGCATTTCACCTTGGTTCACCATCATTTTTCAAACCAAAAACACAAACATCCAGGGTTAATTCTGTTTTGGTTTCAGCTCTACCAGACGCAGCTCAGGCTCACATTAGAGGACAAACAACTAGTGACACTGTCTATTGTACATCAAAGGTGACCATTGATGGCACAGACTATACTAGTGGCATGTTTGTGTCAGTTGGAAACAGTGGGGGACTGTCAAAATTTTGCAGACTAACACAGATCTACCTTGTGAATCACAATGTTTCTTTTCTCTGTTGTGATTATGACTCCTGGTATATAGAGCATCTTCGATCCTACGAGCTGTCAGCCACACAGGGAAGCCAATCTATCCACCTGCAGTCTGACTTCAATGATACAACCCCACTCTCTGCATACAAGATTGATGGCTTGCTGCTGTTGACTCCCAAGAAGTTCATACAAGTGAGACAAAATTAAGACCACTCTATGGTGAGTAATTCTTCATAAATCATTAATTGGTCATTTATTGGAAAGTGTGCTCAGTATAACCAATCATTATATAGCTACATCAACATACATTTCCTGCATTTTGGAATTGCACTCTTTGGTAACACATTCTAAAGAACATGTCTATAATGCATTAAAAGCAGAAATTTAACTGGCCAATGTCATGGTAGAAATAATGTACTGTGGAACCCAGGTCTCAGATTTTTCTTTCAAACACAGTCACTTTGGCATGGAGGTATAAAGCATTATGAATGCTGAACACATTGGAGCTTGTCATTAATGATTATAAACAATAAGTAAGACTTATAAATGCACTATAATGTCTGTGTGCTGATGTGTTTTTAACCTTACAATCTCTTCATTTATTAAAGTGATGGCAGCTGAAGCTCCACAAAACATGATCCTTCGTGTCGTCGAGGCAGACCGTGTAAGAAAATTAAAACTCAGCTCCCGTCCAGCCTCTGTTGATGCACTGATTGAGATTTTAAAAGAACAACTGGAACTGGACTGTGACTTCAGTTTGCAATACGAAGATCCAGACTTTGATGGAAAACTCACTTGCCTTGTTGACATCGAGGAGTTACCACAAAAAGCCTGTGTTCATATTTCACTTACACAGGATTCCAGTTCTCTTGCTTCAACTGATACCCTTTCAGATATGTCATCCCCAGAACGTCTGAGCAGATGGCCTCCAGGTCCTATTCAAATTCCCGCATTTGCATTTGACGTTGAGCTGACACTTAGAGATGGGAATGCTGAATTTGAAAAGAATGAAAGACCTCTTCAGTTGTCAAGGGACCAGAAGCACAATATTTTAGACACACTGGCATCCACCATATATGGTTTTAAGGCATACCCCAGTGATAAAGAGATAGCAATGGTGGCTGAAGCTCTTGTAAGGAAACACCCCTGTTTAAAAGAAGCAGGATCTGACAATGGATGGAATGGCTGGAAGAACAGCATCAAGTTTAAAATGGGCAATTACAGGACCAAGATGAGAAGAGCTGGATGTCAGGAGGTTGCTGTAAATGCTGGGAAAAGGAGCCGAAAAAACCCAGAGAATGAACCTTCACACTCCAACATCAAAAGACCTAAGCGTGCAGAGGTCAACTTCCTGCCTAACTTTCCTCAAGGAGAGGATCATTCAAGTCTTGACCTTTTGAGGCAGACTATTGTTGAGGAAGTAAAGAAGACTGAGAGAAACCTACCCCTTATTAGTAAGATGATGCAGAACACGTTTGCTTTGCGACGCCAGACCATTGTGATGTCATGTCCTCCGGTGAAAGAACTAATGGACCTCTGGCCTGCTCTTCATATGCAGTCTGAGGTAATATGGGTCAACTCTTTCATCTGTTTTTATCTTTGCTAAATACATTTAATAAATAAATTCATTTTGTAGGTTCTTTTTCAGTTTTTATCTTTGCTACTTATGTCACATTGTCTGTAATGTTGCCTAATTTCATTCAGCATAAAATAAATAATTGCTGTTACTGTCCTTTCCTCCAATGCAGGTGTATGCAGAGTTCCAACGGATAACTAACCAGAACCTACCTAACACTTTCTACGCGGAGCTTGATCGCCACACTCCTCGTTTGATGGCCTTATTTAGGCAGAAAGCCTCCAAAACTGGAAAGACGGCAGATGCTTTGGCAGACATTTTCAAAGTCCATGATACACAGGTGATTATACAGTACATTTCACAGGTAGAGTCTTAGTGTAATGATGGGAGTTTAATGCTTCAAATAAGCTTTTAAATTCCACAATGGCACCAGATGAGTCAGCAGATTATTAGTGGATTTATGTGCAGACACTGGAAATTAATGAACTAATAATTAGTTGGGACTGTTTAGCATTGGGTTTGAATTGTAAACTTGTCACAACACTATTTTAATCTTCTTAGGAATTACATGATGTCCACACAAGGCGTACCACTGTTCTCCATGCCCTTCCTGTGTATCTACGTGAGGAAGTCTCTGGATTTTTGAGAACATGTGTGGTAAGTCCAAGTAAAGAGATATCAGGCCTATTGTACTATAAATTAACCAATTCATATTTTCATTTAATTTCCAACACACTACAATTCCTGTATATGTACCAGTATTTCAACTTAAAACCTCTGGCAAGATGTTCATAAGTGTGGAGTGTCATTTTGGGCCCATTATGGCATCAAAAAAAATCAACTGCAAAGAAAATCAAGTAGCCATCATTAGCCTAACAGTGGAACACATAAAAGTCATCTCATTTTCTCAGCAATGAGAGCACAACGCAACAGAATGAACAGGAGTCTTCCAGACTTGTGTATTTCTTGTTATTCATATGACATCCAACTGTAATCAAAATTGCCACAGCCATAGTTTCAGTAAATGTGATTATATGATCTCCCTTTCATTTTTTAGGATGATATGGATGAGCCAGACCTGGGGGATGCATCAGTGGTCCTCCTTACAACCGTCAGCGATGATGCAACAAGCCCAGTTCACTACCACCCAGTGAGAGTCTCTGTCGTCCTAGAGGGTGATGTGGTTGTCAGCCTCCCCAGGCTTGCTGATGCCTTCCTGGTAATGTTCGGCCTGATCTATGCACTACATCTCAGTTATCCCAAGGGACTGCCAAACACTTTTGAGTTCACACAGAAAATCTTACTTGGTCTTGATGACTCTAAACTGTCACCCAAGCTGCAGACTCTTAAAAATGACCTGATGTTGTATGTGTAACTGAAGATCCAATAAGGAGTGGTGGATTCTGATGGCTCACTTTGTTAGAGCACAGTCCAAAATGAGAATATGTCATGTCAGATCCATGTTGACTACTGTTCAACTGTAGATGTTAAAGTTGCTGCTCTACTCAACTTGTTTTTAGCCAAATGGCAAAGTACACACTGTCTTTGTACTGGTTAATGTACATTTCATTGTTGTTTAACTGAAATGCAGGGTTGAATTAAGTGTTTATACACTATGGCATTTTGTTTTTAAAAGGTGTACTATATAGTTTTGGGAAATTTTTTTTATTAGAAAAGAAAGATCTTCATTGATACATTTTCATAAAAAAATAAATAACAAGAGTTTTCAGGCTGCTTCAGTAAAGTAGCCACCTTTCTAGTTGGAAACAGTGTTATAGGGACTTTATTTTCTTCTGAGGACGGGATGTTTATTCTGTTATGGAAATGGATCAAATAACTAGTCTTTATTGTCTTATTAATATTGTTAATTCAGATTTTCAAGTTTTAATTACTTTTCTAAAGCTATACAGTGCACCCTGAAGTTGCTAGATTTGAACCAGATAGCCAAATGAATGCTACACACTGCCTTTGTACATGTAAATGTACAGTTTTGAAATTTTAGCAGTTCTAGTTGTGAAGAATTTATAAGCAATTTGTTTATACATTGCTGCACTGCAAGTTTACAACCAGATGGCCACAAGGGTGCCTTTGTAATTGTTTCTTTAATTCTCTTTTTTGCTATTACTGTCTTTCAAATCTTGTTTATGTTTCATTTTGTACAAAAAGGCACAGGTGTGGGCAAATAATCTTTCTAAACTCAAATTTTTGGTCACCACCCAAGACTTGCTGATGCCCCCCTGGTAATGTTGTATTAACAGTTTATAAGCTATTTGTGACATAAAGATATTTTCTTAATCTAATTTTAGCTTCTCTGAGTTTGAATATTGTCCACTATTACATGGTTCATCTTAAAATATAAACAAACATACCAGAAGTAGACTTGATAATTTTTAGTTTTTATTTATGCATTTATTTATTTGTTTTTTTTTTTTCTTTTTTCTTTTTGCTAAGAGACTGGGCAAGAAAAGTTTATACTAAACATCGGAATAGAAAAAAAAACTTTTAATTTGATGTGGGTTTCTTTTGTTTGACTTTTAAGTCAAGTGTACTTATTATGTTTAAGCAATGTTGGAGGTCAATGATTTTGATTTGTGCAAGTCTAAGTTTTTGAGTTATGAGTAATCAAAAGATTGATTGAAAAAACTAATAAATGTTAAGTTCATGAAACATAAAAATCCTGAGTTTTCATGCTTGAAATTCTTAAGTTCACTTCAGTTATTGCAATGAGAAAGATAAATAAATAGTCTGAGTAGCAGAACCTGAAAATATTTGAGTTGGCTTAATCAGTAAATTTAATTTCATTATAATTTAAAATTACATTTACAATAAACTCCAAATAAATAAGTTCTGATATACTCAAATGTTTGAGTTTATGAACTCAAAAAAATTGTGGCAACTGATTACCTCACTTTTTTTGAGTACTGCTAACTTATTCGGGTTTACAGTGTAGTTGTTTCATTTCAACTCCAATATGGTGGCCTGCGGAGCTCAAATCATGAAGATTGTGCAACGGTCCAAATATTTCTGGGCCCAACTGTATAAAAGAAAATATAATCCACAGGATGAATGGGGCGCAAATATTTTTCTAAATATTTTTCTCAGAGAGAAATGTTTAAATAATTATCACACATAGGTTAAATCAGCCGTTCTTGAAAGGAACAAAGAAAGTCGTTGTGGTAAACAAGCTCTCATCAGCAGTGTGAACGGGTTCAGTCAGCTCCACTGCCTTATATGAAGGTCCCCTGTTAGACAGGTAGATCTCACTGAAGGATCCAGGTCCCCTCTTGGCAATTAAAAAAAAAAAAACAATTAAAAGTCACATTTCAAGTAACATTAAGGTAAAAGACCTTATAGGAAAAAATTTTATAATATTTTTGTTTTATTAAAATGACCAGAACTAGGGGTCCACTGTTGGTCAGGTAAGTGTTTGTGCGTGTGTGTGTGCCTGCGTGCCTGCATGCATGTGTCTGTGTATGTGAGGGAGAGATTATTGTCATGTTTGTCATTAGAGAGGAGTGTGAAGGATCCCAGGGTTGACAGAGCAGTGGGAGTTGGAAAAAAGATAGAGGCTGTGTCCAAAATGGCATACTACACGTACTACTCATACTAACCCCGCCCGCGAATTGAGTAGGCAGTGCGTTCACACTGTACAGTATGCGAATTTTGTGTATGCGAGAAATTCCCGGATGTATACTCAATCGGCTTCGATTTCTGAGTATGGAGCGGAGCTTGCTTCACGTACTGCGTCTGCCCCACAATGCATTGCGCACTTCAGCTGGTAATATGGCCCTCTTTCCCGAGGCTGAAAAGAAATAGATGGCATGTGATTGCAATAATAATGATATATATATATATATATATATATAAATAGATAAACATTTAGTCAGCATACATTACACATTTTTTTATCATTTTATCATATTTTTTTATCTTTTTTACCAGATTTATTTGTATTTTACATTTGGATTGTATGTAATGTTTTTAACTATTCATATGAATTGACTTTATTTATTTAGGTGTCTATTAAAGATGTATTTATTACAACAAGTTTGAGCATCTTCTCATCTCTAAATGCATCATCAAAGTGGTCACTCATATAAGGCACAGACCTCTGATTAATAAAAAATATTATTGGTAGAGAGCACATGGTTCAGAATATACAAATGGGGGAGTTTCCAGTTGACAATGTATATGTGAGCTTTACTAATTCTTACTTGTGGTTGAAAATCCATTAGGAAGTACATAGCTGCCCTGAAGAAAAGATGCCTTTGTCTTCTTGCATGGCGGCGCTCTATGGTTTTCAGCCGACACCAGGCAGAACTACCTGATGGTTTCTGAAATTATCATTGTACATGAGAAGAATGTAGTCGGGAAATGATGTATTTGCCAAGGAATAACCGAACAAGGTCATAATAATTATGTTGTGTGTTGGTCATTTTGCAGCCCTATGCTGCTCATCACACACCCAGCGGGTGGTGTATAGCATTATCACCATGGATACACAGGTATTTGTGTTATTTTTTTTCATCCACTGCCGCTCGGTTTGTGTTGCGTAGTTGTTGATTATGAAAACACTTTGCAATAATTTGGAAATATGAAGGGGGAGCTGCTGCTGCCCGGTGTTTACGGTACGTAGACACAAACACCCACCAAGCGGACGCTTCGGTCTCCGAAAACGCAGAGACAAATTTACAAACAGCCGCTATTTCAAACAACTGGGCTCATAATCGTGATGTAAACACTTACTTTCTTGCTAGAAAATTTTTTATTACTGAATGAATTTATATAATTTGTCCGGAATGCAGTCGTTTTGTGTAGCGTGTGGTAGGACTATTTAAATTTTCCCTGCGCTGCATCCGGCCGGCACGAAATGCTTTCTGGGGTATTTAGTATGCATCTGTCTGTAAACGCTCAGGCAGCCACGGCATACTCAAATCATCTTTGAGTATGCAGTATGTACTGATTGAGTAGGTAAGTAGACAGTAGGCAGTATGCCATTTCAGACACAGCCAGTGACTGCTGTTGCTCACAGCTAGAAGTGGGCTCTTCAGAAATGGGCCGTCCTCAACGCAGAATCTCCTACATAGTTGGGTCACGAACTGAGATTCTGTGACCATCCTTTGGCAAGGATGTTTTGACGATTGATTTGACCTCTATGGACCCTTTAGAAAAGATTTAGCCCCCAAGTCCCTCGCAAAAATCCCGGCATTTTTTGCTGGACAGCTAAATTCAAAATGGCGCCTGGCGCCATGCCTAAAAATTCACTTTTGATCTGGATGACCTAGAACAGGGGTCGGCAACCTTAAACACTCAAAGAGCCACTTGGACCAGTTTCCCACAGAAAAGAAAACACAGGGAGCCACAAAACCTCTTTGACATCTAAAATGAAGATAACATTGCATATATCTTTTTTTTTTAACCTTTATACAAAGTATATAAAAAACTGTAGCGAGTTGCATTTATGAAATAAATGAACTATTTCGGCGAGTGTCTGTCTTCTTCTGTAGTTAAACCGCAAGATATCAAAATCTACCCGGATACAGCAATGCTGCTTTTTGATTGGCTGTTCAGTAGATATACTTTATTTGATTGGCTTGTGCGTGGCACGCAGCTTCTGAACTCTCGGAGGAACTCAGTTGATTTCCCCCAGTTCCAAAGTTGAAGAAGTGCAACTTGGTGGACATCACCGTGTTCATTTAAATGCGTGAGAAATACAATGTGTGGTGTGTGAGCGTGTGAACGAGTGGGAATGCGTGTGTCATACGCTAAATGCGTGAGACTTGAGAGCCCTGTGCTCACGCATCATCGATGTACTCCCGAGCCATGCAAAACGGTCTTTGCAAATGTTGCACTGAACGCCTTCCTTTTCAGTCTTGGTGAAGTTTTCCCACACCACTGATGTTTTAGGTCGGGATTTGGGTTGGGTTGTGTCCATGTTTTTCTCAGCCGCTGCCTCGGCCATGGCTGTTTCTTTTCTGTGCGTCCTGCTGATGTTTACACGCCGGTGTCCATGGACATATATAAAGACCCGACGAATCGATTACAGAATTTGTTAGCAACGGATTTTTTCGTCACGACGAATCTACTTAATCGATTCGTTGTTGCAGCCTTAATAGTTTATTTAATGTTACAAGAGCATTATAATCTTTGAATTTAGAATTACAAAAAAAAAAATAATAATAATAAAATAAAATAAAATGCAATGAAGTATTTATTTATTTTCCAAATCTACTGGGAGCCGCAGCTTAGGGAAGAAAGAGCCGCATGCGGCTCCAGAGCCGCGGGTTGCCGACCCCTGACCTAGAATCATGTATGAAAGCACTTTTCTATACAAGTCAACCATGAGGATTCCTAATCTGACACAATTTTAATTGTAAGACCTCATTTTGACACCAAAATTCAAGATGGCCGACATCCAGTAGAGTAAAAACTTAGCTTTAGTTTATAAATTTTCAGTCAGTCCGGCTATTTCTGATTGGTTAAGTAACAAGAGGATGTTCTCTAGGTTGTGCCACTGCCAGATAGCCAGATAGCTGGGGGGGCTGCCCCCTTAGGGACTGCTGGCCTGCCCTGAACCATTCTTCGTCAGCCCCCTCGCCAGAGACCAGTTTGTCATGGGAGACCCTACCAGGAGCACACAGCTCCAGACAACAAAGCTCTCAGGGTCATAGGGATGCACAAACCCCACCACCACGGTAAGGTGATGGTTCCTGGAGAGGGTCTTTTCTCCACTGATGATTTTCCTTTGCCATAAAATCCTGAGTTGGTATCACAGCCTGTAAAACAGTGTAGCTGCACAATGCAGTGTGCCATCTCTTCCGTTAGCATGCCATGACAGAGGACTGTCTCTTTGTTCCTCTTGATGCATAGCATGCCAGGGAGCAGCTGTGAGATGACCGATGCTGCAACGTAGACATCAGTATCAGCTGCATCAATAACAACGGGGCCACTATAGCTTGACTGCCGTAGACCTGCATGAACAGTGAAGAGGATGATGTCAGCTTCCGACTGTTCAATGCTGTAGTCTTCCATCGGTTGTTGTGTTGACAAGTTGGTGCAATGTGCAATGCAAAATGCAATGCAATGAGATAGCCATGACCTTGAAGAGGAGGTAGAACAAGAGCTATTCGCATTCACGAGACAGGTGATCCACAGAGACAAGAAGAGTAGCACCATGGCTGATGCCCGTGCCTCCAAGTGGAAGACCATGAAGAGAAAATCGTCTATCCGTCTCTCTCCAGATGCAGACAGCTTACGGCAACACTGTCTCCGTGCCAACTACTCGGCATATCTAGTGCGCCACCCCACACTGAAGAATCACCCCTCGCCACTTGGACATGGTTGGGAGTTGGTGGGTGGTCACTGTCGTCCTGTCCGCCACACACAGCCTGCTCTCCCCACACACCTACCTGCACCAGGGCCAGTTGAAAAGGAGGAAGAAGTTGAGAGTGAGAAGGAGGAGGAGGAGGATGTTGCTCAGAGGAGGGTGGAGTCATCGGAATCTGATGAGTCAGAAAGCAGTGACACAGAATTCTCTGATTCAGACTAACAAGTGTTTTGTGTGGTTTCAGATATGATGTTTCCGCTGTTGGTGATGATATACGCAAGGTATTATAAAGGAAGCTACAAACTCAACTACCTCTATACATATGCAGCACGCCCTCTGATGTGCAATGGGAAAAAAAAAGAAAAAAAAAAGAAAAAAAAAACCCTCTCCAGGAACCATCACCGTACCGTGGTGGAGGGGTTTGTGCATCCCTATGACACTGAGAGCTTTGTTGTCTGGAGCTGTGTGCTCCTGGTAGGGTCTCCCATGACAAACTGGTCTCTGGCGAGGGGGCTGACGAAGAATGGTTCAGGGCAGGCCAGCAGTCCCTAAGGGGGCAGCCCCCCCAGCTATCTGGCAGTGGCACAACCTAGAGAACATCTTCTTGTTACTTAACCAATCAGAAATAGCCGGACTGACTGAAAATTTATAAACTAAAGCTAAGTTTTTACTCTACTGGATGTCGGCCATCTTGACATTTGGTGTCAAAATGAGGTCTTACAGTTAAAATTGTTTCAGATTTGGAATCCTCATGGTTGACTTGTATAGAAAAGTGCCTTCATACATGATTCTAGGTCATCCAGATCAATAGTGAATTTTTAGGCATGGCGCCAGGCGCCATTTTGAATTTGGCTGTCCAGCAAAAAATGCTGAGATTTTTGCGAGGGACCTGGGGGCTAAATCTTTTCTAAAGGGTCCATAGAGGTCAAATCAATTGTCAAAACATCCTTGCCAAAGGGTGGTCACAGAATCTCAGTTCGTGACCCAACTAACATGATGGTGATCAAGAAAAAAGATGATCCTTTTGGAACAAGACTAGGCCATTAATCAGATCTTGGTTGCTGACAGTTCAACCAGACACCTGGTGCTAACATGGAAGGACACAGAGTTTCTCAATTATGTGATCACGGCTCTTTGGCCTCCCCTCAGTGTAGAGTTGCACTGATACATCTCAACCTTGTCTTTAGGCAGCAGAAGAGACCAAGAAACCAAAGTTGCATCCAAAAGACCAAAGAAGAACCTGTAAGCTTATTTAAGGGCACATGAACAGGGAGGAGGCATGACTGAGATTGAAAAATCACAGCTGCACGACACAGCAACTTAAACTTTCACCAGTAGACAGCAGGGGAGATCCCCTCACATGGTAGAGAATTAATGAGGTGAACTTTCCTTGGATCAGTGTTTTAGTCAAGAAATACCCATGTATCCTGGTTATCCATAAAAAAGACATAAGGCTACTGTTTGGAGTTTTTAGGCCAGAGATTGTGCACATTTTGGCTGAAGGTTTATTTAAGTTATGTCTACTTAAAATAAGGAAAAAAAAAAAAGAGAAGACTACCGAGGCTACCTTGTGCTTAAACTTGATTTATGCTGTTTCTACAACTATTGCACTGCCATCTTGAGACAATATATTCACAATTTGAATTAGGAAGTCTGACAGTTGTTTGATGGAAAATGCCTTTCATTTTGTTTGCACTGATAAATGCTGCAACCAGTGCTAAAACATTGTTCAGTCATTACTTATTGTTATCTTAAATTTCATGGAAATATGGTGCTATAACTTCACTTTTTTCCTGTAAGCCATTTACTCAACATCTGAAGTGCAGCCTCGAGCAGCTGCACTCAAAGCTTTAGTAAGGATACATGTAGCCCCTTCCTCTTCACTTCTTGAGATTGGGGGAGTTGGGGGCATGTGAACAGATATTAGAATATTCAGGAACAGCCTGGGGGCGGCACCACCTGAGAACACAGTAAATTCGGCATATTTGATTTTCAACAGCCCTTTTCCTCTGTTTTTTTAAGGGGATCTGCCAGGAGGGATAAAATTCACTTAGAAATAATAAAATGTCAAGAGCGTGAATTTGAATAAAAGTCCTTTTCATCATCTGTAAAAAGTTTTAATATTCCTTGAAGGGATTTGCTTTAACACGAGGTAGAAGACTAATAAATGTTATATTCACAAGGAATTCAAAATGAGACTCCACTCTTTGGTCCTCATTTCGCAGTACAGTTAGACTTCTTCAGTGATTTCTGGACTCTTTGAAGCAAAGATATAGTTTCCGCACAATTACACAGTATATATATATATTTTTTTGCTCTCACACAGCACTTCAGAGTTTATAAAATTAGAAAAGGAAAACAAGTAAAGGCTGCATTCATCAATAGTCTTGTATTAATTTCACTAGGAATTTAACTAACCCACTTTTTCAAAATTTTTAGGCTACACTTTCACTTAGTGCTGCTTTACCTGAACTGACCACCCTGAATTTCAGTTGAATTTAATGTTTTAGTAAATTATTTTTTAAATTAACATCTATGTTAAGAAACAAGAAAGTGCAGACAGAGTGTTTTGTTTTATCTTTTTGGTGTTCATTTGGAAAATCTGTAGATCAAAGGATTCTCCAAAAATAAGAAAACTAGAACAGTGAGAAATAAGTGTATGTAATTATTTGCAAACTTTGTGTTGGACAAATTACCCACTAGGACATGCAGTTTTCTAGAGATTATTGACAAAGGATCCCTTTCTCCAGTACAGCAGTAATCTCTGAGGGCTACTAGTGGCCTTTTGTTCTGAGCTTGTTTAATTCTGGTTATGGACCAAGAGTCACAACAAACAATTCTTTCATTTACACATTTATTTTCAGGCCAAGTCCAACAGGAGGGAGACTGTGAGCTCAACAGCAAAGAACAACTCCACTTGTGACAGAAACAGTAAACTTTTAATTGGCTTTAGAATCACATGCTTGAGATGTCTCTGCTGGAGTTCACCAGTGTGTTTATTTGCCTCCTCCTCCAAGACCTCCACCTCTATGGCTTCAAAACTAGTTTTCATTTAAGGCTAGTCTGCTCTCCCAAACTCTCCATGGTAACAGCAGGTAGCGGACGCAAAATCCTAATTAAATAATGTGCCACTTTTGCACCTGTTAACAATTGGGCATGCAATCATTGTAGATCACCTGCAACCTAAGGCGCCAAAAAGGGGAGTAAAGGAGAAGGATTCTATGGGGCCCATGACTGACAGGGGCCCAGAGAGGCCCCTAAGACAATTATTATACTGACAAAAATTATCGCACTCAGTAAGAAACTTAAAGTTACATATATTTTATAAACAATGTATTGGTAGCACTAAGTTTATTTGTTTTGCACAACATTTCTCAAGTCCATGGTTCATGCCACCTGCTCCATTTTCACAGACGCTGGGTGCTAAGTTTTCCACAGACGGTGGGTAGAGGAAGATCGAGCAAAACGCGTCAAAAATCTGGGAGCCAAAAATGGGAAAAAAAAGCCCAGACAGGAGAATGAAACAAGGGGTCAACAGTATGTTACCCAGCAAGGTGGGGGTGTTAGTGGTTCATGTGATGGAAAGTTCTGGGACATTAGCCTGTTGTCTAATCCTAACTTTGTCCATAGATTATAAATGAGTTCACTTTTCTCCCATATTAGCTCATATTTCTGAAGAAAATTCTGTACATTTTACTGTTGTTTTAGTTAAATAACCAATGCAGGCAAACGTTTGGCAAGCTGCTTTGCCTATAGTCAATCAGTTTCCCCACAGACACATCAAGAGGATCAGCAGTTGTCTGTCAGTCCCCCCTGCCCCACCTGAACAAGCCCAGGTACCCCCTGCCATTCTTTGATATGCTACTTACCTACGTTTTACCTTGAAAATGTTCATTTGTTTTATTTATTTTTGATGGGTTTTTTTTACATAAAACTATGCATTTTTATGTTATTATTTTCTGTACTCTCATTTAGTCCATCCTCCACCTTTGAATTCCTTTCTTCGTCCTCACTCTCTGCCGCCTGTGTTTCTGGGCTCTCACTTTCATCTGTACCCTCCTCCATCTCTTCCTCCACATTCCTTCCTGACAAACCAGAGGAAGGTCCTGAACCTGGCTCTACAGAGTGTACATGACATAAATAAATTATATAGTATTTCCTATAATATAACTATTTGTATTAGATTCTCACAAGCATTCCCCCACTGAACGTGTAAACTTCTTATTGGATTGAAAGCAGTCACCCCAGTCTGCTGCACACACAACATATTTATTCTGCTGTTCCTATTGCACTTATTCTATTTTAATGGTAGCTGAATTTTCACAAAATAAAAACAGTTATGCATTTTAAACCATTAAAATTATTCATAATTATTTCTATCATAATATTTTCCTCAATAACAGATTCATCTTTTGTGTGTATTGTTTTGAGACTGTGATTAAGAATATCACTATGATTATTCCAACACACAGCTGCTCACCTCCTTCCTCATGTGGGAGCACTGGGGCTGAGTAAAGGGCTGGTGGAGTTGGGGACTGACAGACAGCTGCTTCTAGTGAACGAGGTATTGTTTTGACAGAGGGGAGGTCAACTGATTGAATATAACCAGCTTGCTAAACGTTAGACTGTATTACTTATTTAACTAAAACAGGAGAGAAATGCACATATTAAGAGTTTTCTTGAGCTGACATGGAAAGAAAAGTGAGAGAACTGTGAGGTAAATTGATGTCAGTGATGATCTGAACAGTGGTGGCACATTTGCTAAAACCCAATCTACAGCAGTATTTTTTTTTTCTTGTAGTGCCAAGTGGATTACACACTTGTAAATCATTCACATACAGAATAAGAGAAATAGCTGGATTATTTTCTGACAGGAATGCATTGTTTTTTATATGATCAATCCTGAAATGAATTGTATTGACTTTCAGAAATAATTTCTGTTCTACAGTTGTGTGTGAGCTAATCCAGGATACCTGCGTAAAGCTGGCCCCCCACCCCTTGCAAAATGTCAGGAAAATAGTCTGCTTTGTTTGTGCTGGTTTGTGCTGTTAAAATTTTCATTTGTGCTGCCATGGTTTTTAAATTATTAAATATTGTTTTATAGGTCACCCAGAGGTCACCCAGCCCCCCATTTGTTCCAAATGGACCCAAAATGGTGCCGTTTGTTAGTGCTTCGTTTGTGCCTGTTTGTGCTGTTAAAATTTTTGTTTGTGCTTCTACAG